AAAAAAAAAAAAAAACAAATAAAAAAAAAAAAAAAAAGTTTTTCCCGGGGCCTTTTTTTTTTTTTTTTTTTACTATCGACTGTTGATGAAAGTTAATCCTACTTTTTTATATTAATGGTACTACTGCATTAAATAATTTCTATTTAATTAAATAGTTCACCAAAGAACACAGAATAAGAACATGCAAAAAGGAAGCAATGTTCCATAACTATCACAGTTTTTCTGGCTTTCTAACTGTCAGACAAAATCTGTTAAAAATTCAGCTACGCTCTTAGTTGTGTTTCCCGTGGGAATAAAGTTTGAACTGGAAGGAAAATAGACAATTCTCTGTCCAGAAAGCAATATAATGTAACATATCAATTGATAGAGAAAACTTTGGCTTTCTATTGGTTATAAATGATATAGTCTTAAATGTAAAAGAGAGGATGTAACAGGTGGGCATGGCAAGAGGGGTCTCATTTTCCATTTTATTGCTCTGTAACTAAATAAGATTGAAGTTTATGTAAATTATTCTTTGTCTGAGTGATGACAGCATTACAGTGAGTAATGTACATAAAAAGTTGTACTTCTCGGAGAGGTGGTAAAAATATTACAGAAGAATTCTGACACAGATAACAAATGTCACAATTCTTATACTAGGGGAGATGGAGAATTATTTTTTAAATATTTTCTTATAAAATTAAAACTCAAAACTTAAATAATACTAAACATTGATTTATTATCTATGTTCTGATGCCAAGTGTATTCATATACATCGATAATAAAGTAGTTTAATTAAATTTTGAATGTAATTCTGTGAAGCTGTGACATACGCACTTTGACCTACCCAAAATGAAAGGGTTAATCATGTGATACTTTCACGTGGCTTTATTTTCATGTAATTTATTGTCACTGATGAAACCTGTTAGAAGTTAATTGTGGACAGCTGTGTGCAAACTGTATGCTGTTTATTTTGTTATGGTACAAAGGTTGAAGCAAAGTACTTGTGCTTGCCTTGTGTACGGGGTGTTTTGCAGTGTGTATTTGGTACCCGGGGGGATCAAATCTCATGCATCCCTACAAATTCTCGTGCATACTGGATCCAGGAGTTCAGATTAACTAGAACTCTGGTTTTCCTCATTTCTTTTTGCATCTTCTGTTTATCTTTTTTCATTCTGGAGAGCAAACAGTCTATGATACCCATCTTTATGCTCTGATCTATAATCAAAGTATTTACCAGTACTTGTGAGTTTTCTATAAACTGTGGTATGTGTATCTTGATGGTTATCATGTCTAGGAGAGAGCTTATTATCTTTTCGTTTCCATCATGTACTTTATCACTGAGTCTATGTAATGCTTTTCTTTTAACCCTATTTTCCCATGTATCATTTACTGCACATGTCACGAGGTGACACGTTGTGACTTACATTCAAAAGTTTATTAAACTATTATTTATTTATGGCATATCAATCAGTATAGCACAAAACCTCAGCTAATAATCCATATTTTAATAGTATATAAGTTTAAGTTCTTAATTTTATAAGGCAATATTTTAAAGAATCCTGAATTTCTTCTAGTGTGACACATTTTCTCTAGGCATCTCCTCTTCTCTATTTTATCCACCACTCCTCCAATAAGTATGAAATTGAATGTAAATTACTCACTATAAAATTGTCATTGCTCAGGCAAACCATACTTTTAATGGCCATCAATTTTATTCAGTTACAGAGCCATCAAATAAAGAATCAGACCCCTTTTGCCACATCCACCTGTCACATCCTCTCTTTCAGGATTTGTTAATAGCTCTCTCTTATGTCTAATTCTGTATTAACTATAACCAATAGAAAGCCAAGATTTTCATCTATCAAGCAACATATTATATTACATTGTTTTCTGAACAGAGAATTTTCAACTTTTCTGTTAGTACAAGCTTCATTTTCATGGGAAAGATAACAACTAGCTTGGATGAAGTTGTAACAGTTTTGTCGCATAGTTAGGAAGCCAGGAAAATTGTGATAGTTAGGGGAAATTGTTTACTTTTTGCATGTTATTATTCTATGTTCTTTGATCCATTACTTAATCAAATAAAAATTATTTAGTGCATAACTACCATTAGTATAAAAAAAGTAGGGTTAAGTGTCATCAACAGTTGACAACAAAAAGAAAAAAAAAGAAAACCCAGGTAAGTACTTTATTTCATGTTTTTCATGTTTATTCTTTATTTATTATTATAAAAGTTACTAAAATGTAAAAATAGGGATCTCTTTAGGTTAGTTAAGGTTAAATTAGGTAAAATAATTAATAATAATATAATAAAAGTATTTCACAAGGCACACAAGCAAGTAGCTTGTGGGTAACATAATTCTATAGTGTAACATGGGCTGCACATTCCCCAAGTACTTTACAACTTATAATGGCACAAATAGCAGTTAGACACAGTTCAAAGGGCAATAAAAGAATAAAATTTAATCATAAATAGATATATACTGTTACAAGTTTAAAGCTACTCGGGATAAACGAATGTAGTTTCATGTTACAATTTCAAATTATTCTAGAAAGAAAAATGTGGTAATTTAGATTTATATTGATTTTTTTTGGTGCTTACGAGTTTGTTCAAATTGACCAACCTTGTATAGAGTTAAGGTAGAGAAAATAACAGATAAAATATAAAGTTTACTGAAAACAAACATTTGAAATGTACTTTGAAGGTTTTAGAGATTACACAAAGGAAATTTGAGACTTTTGAGATGAAGAAAAGTATTTTTAACCTTAACATGAAACTCATTTTGCACAAGGAATATTCAAAACAAATGGTGTTGAAATATTTGACATATTCACACACAAATCTTTTTTTAGTTTATTAAAAATAATTCACCAAAAAATAAGATTTTTTGTGTGTGAAAGACATAATATTTACTGAAAGACTGCCAAGTTTCATGAAAATATACACACTATAATAAAAGTTGGTAGTTTCAAATCTATAAGGACTTTAAACAAGTACAAAGAGGTCATGTGGTCGGTCAGACCGACTGAGCCCATATTGAGACAGTTAACAAACAATAATGCATAACACTTGAATATTATAAAAAACTACACATACATAGTTTTGACCCTACAATTGGATTTTCAACCACACCTGCCTCTTGGGTTTTGATTTTATTTATAAAATAGAGGAAGGATGCACAGAAATACAGTGGTTCAAAAATTTTACCTTACTAAATTATTATACAAACAATTATTTCTAATACATAAAATAATACATAACTTCTCACTCACCAGATACCACTGATCCTGATATAATGGGTCAGGAATTTCAATGAGCTTATAGTCTCGCTTGACCCTTTTCTTTGTATATTGTTGTTCGACCCACAAAACCTACATCACACAAAAACTATAAATTCAACTGTTTTTATGTAGAAAAAATAAATTACTGATGTAGTATTTAAAGAATAATACTAAGAAGACACAATTTAAATTATAGTCAGATGTATTAATATAAGTACATCAACACAACTTTAGGATACCTTACACACCATGCAAGAACTATACTTAAATGGCACCATCAAAATCTGTTATAAATAATGAGTTAAAGAACAGTTTCCCATAGTAATAATTGAGTATATTGAACAAGAAATAAATTCTGGTAATCACAAAACATTTTACTTCATAAAAAAAGAACTTTCCCTTTGCAATTAATTATCTGTAATTGGTAACCACATATTGGGTAAACAGATTTTGTTGTTACAAGTGCTATTCAGTGATGGTCTTTAGCGATATACATGCTTAAATATGCTAGTGTCAGGGAAGTGATATTTCTTTAGTAGCCACTATGTACTTAAAAGATTTTTGTAGAAAATGCTTAAGCTCAAGAAATTAATCTATTTAACACTGAAAGCTTTGATTATTATTTTAATGAGATTGTTTTGTTAAAAATTATTTTTTCTTTCCTACATTACCAAAACAATGAAATTTATGAATATTAAGTTTCTAAAGCCTATTTTGGAGATTAATAAAAATGATGATGATTTAACTTCTTTAATAACCAAGCTAAATTAAAAGAATGATGTTTAACATTTTTGGGGTTCACTAGTACCTTAATTCTGATGAACTGATAATGTACCTTATTATTTGTTATTAAAATGTTTCAAATTCTAAATATCCAATTTATTTATTAAAAAACACTAATAAATGTCATTTGTAACACTGTACAGATGACCTGTATAACAGATCATGAGCACCAATAGTGTGGTACAAGTGGGTTGAATTACACCATCAAAAATGAATAAAATAAAAGGCCTGCTCATATTTCAATGAGCATTCTATCAACAGTAAAAATAACAACACCAAGAGTAAATGTAGTGTTCATAATAATTCACAATCTCATCCAAAATATATTTCACTACTTAAATCAGTATATTAGGATGGTTTAACAAATGTTACTGAAAACAATTTACATTATGTTAAACATGTACATACATAAAAATTTCTATTATAACAAACAAGTTTTATCAGCAAAAGGTAGAACAGTTTGATGATAAGCTAATTGATTAATTTACAGTGCTAATTCTGTAAGCAGCATTAAAAATACTCTAGACTGGCACTGAAATAATTCATCAATACAAGGACATGAATTTGAGTGAAAGAGACAAACAAAAGGTTCAAAAGGAGTCGAAGTACTATACAACAGAACTATAAATGTAAGTAGCTGATTTGTAGGAAAAACTTAATGTAAAAAATACACAAGCTCAAATCAAAATTAAGAAATGGACATTAAAGCAACAACAAAAACACTTGCATTTTTTTACAACTAGAAAATAAAAATAAACAATGGAGAATTTTAATTTTTTTTCTTACCTTTGAATTGGAACTAATTTTCCTATAGTGGTGATGATTAAATTCTAAAGATCTTTTTGCTATATGCTGATGTTCAAACAAATAATAATCAGTCAGACTACCAATCTGCAAGAAACCAAAGATTATTTTGCCAACCTTCTAGTTTAAATATCCATCACCATTTGTATGTAAAATATATCATGTTTACTTTCATAAAATATGTTAACAGAAAATAAATCCTGAAAAAGATCTAACCTCTCAAGGTACACAACAAAACATCAACATCTTAATAAATAAAACCAAAAGAAATAATAAAAATACAAATATTTCAGGCTACACTTGTAGTGTAATTTATTTAAAGGTGAATTATGTTATTTACTTCAAAAACAGAAACAACGTTTTTCTAAAAAATAAAATATTCATATATTAAAAAATAAGTCAACTAATTTTGACAACAGTTGCTGCCATCATCAGGAATAATATTATAATGGAATGTTAGCCTGTGATCCTTTCACCATGACTAATCATGGCCGGAGCAACCAGGGGACAAAAGGTGCGACAGACCAGGGCAGTACTTCTGATGGGGCAGCATTTTTTTGTCAAAAAATGATTAAATAATTAAAAGAAAGAGCCAGTTCAGGGAAGTTCAGCTACTGGCAGTAACCTGCCATTTTGAGGGTTTTGAACAGTGGTGCAAAGTCTGAGAAAAATTGCCAAATTTTGGAAATTTTCTTGACATTTTTTAAGAAATGAGTATTTGGGAATTCTTTAAAGAAAAGCATATAAAATTGGGAATTTTCGAGAAAATAGGAATCCTTAGTGTATAATTGTTTTCACGTTGGTCACCTGTGTTGATCCTTACTGCACACTGACTCTGTAAGTCTACAGTTTTTAATTAATAAAACAATTAAACTAATCATGTATATTGATGCAACTGCATTTATAAAAGAGAATATTTTTACACTTTTCAAACGTTCTGCGACATTACATCATTTTCCAAACGTCCCAAATTTTCATTTGTGACCAATTATACAATATACGTGTCTATTATTTTTCATGTAGTTGTAAGGGCCAAAATGAACTATTTTAATTTTTATATTGAATAATGTATTTATTAATTACTAGTTAGTTCTACATTTATAAATATTTATATAAATTATATTTTAGTAACGCGCACACTTTAATGCACTTTTTTCTTAATTTACTCTGTTTTTGGCATTATTGGGAATTGTTTTAATCTCTCTGGGAATAGTTGGGCACCCTACTTTGCATTACTGGTTTTGAAGCATCTAGTTAGCAGTTTATGTCAAGCTTCCAACGTGCTCCATCCATTTAGGCCACTCAACATTAAGGTAAGCCATTGAAGTATGATTAGTAAATAAGGATTATTTATTTTCTGCATTGCAGTTATACCTGGGCACTGTTACCAAAATAAAAGAAGATCATTTTAGAAGGTTTTAAGAGTTTTATAATTGCTTTTATCCTTGTAAGCACTAGCTGAGTATTTTACTCAAAACTCAGTGAATGAACCCCTGTTTATTTACTAGGTTTTGATCAAAAATTTGTTTGGTATTTAAAATGCACAAGTGCATTTACATGCATCTAAATGCACCAACTTTCTAGCATAAAAATTATGCATTCTTTACCGATGTGATTTTTTTAAAATCGCGATTTTCTCAAAAGTGGCTCTAACAATTTTGATCAAAATCAAGCTACACGTAGATATACAAATCCTTAATAAAACTGCATATCCCATTTTCCCCTAAAGATAATTGTACACCTCCTACTTTCATATTTGTTTCTACATTATAAACCTATGTATTTCTATAAGCATTGGGTGAATTATATTCATTTTTTATATTTTAAATCAGCCAAAGGCAACAGTAATTAATTGATAATTAAAATATCTAAATACGAAAAATGTGTTATTTCCGGTAGTTTTCTCTGTCACTATATCACAATAACCTGGTGTCTGTGTATTTTCGTTCATGTTTTGCCTACACTAGAGATTTCGACCCTATTACAAAACTTTCTCTTACTATTGCCGCGAAAAAGTAAAACTAAAACGCTTGTTTTTTACTGATGTTTTTTTCACTTCTCTTCAGATGTCCGAGACTTTGGAGAAACATCGAAAACTTACTGGAGCTCAATACAGAAAGCAAAGAACAAAGAAAGAAGAAGAATCAAGATAAGCAACTTCATCTAAAGTTAAGGTTTTCCAAGCAGATTCAGCTCCTTCAACATCTGCTGAAAGAGTCCTGCAGGGCCAAACAGAAGATGAATCTTGTTGTGCATATGATGCTTTATCAACTTCAGATGCTCATTAACCTGAAATTTCTTCTCCAGAGGACCAGTAGAGATTCAATTCAATGATGGGATCTTTTCTGCAGCCAAAGAGGCTGAAGGGGATTTGCCAACAGATATTACACCTACCGATGCTTCTAGAGAAGTTAGTGATGTGCTTACTATGACCAAATTGTGCGATCCAGCGAAATGGCCCAATAAGTTATGTGAAAAAATGAGAATATGTTTGAAACAGAGCCTGTTAAAGAGTTCCACAATATGATTTATCCAAAAGACGATTTGGGCAGAAGTTTTTCAGACACATACTACCACAGAAAGATGCCATATGGAGAGGTGATTCCTAGGGATTGGCTTGTATATTCTGCCTCCAAGAATTGCATTTTTTGTTTTCCCTGTAAAGTTTTCACAAAAGGTAACTCTCTTTTAGCACATGAAGGGTTTTCTGACTAGCACATTTATCTAGACATTTAAGTAATCATGAAAAAAAGTCACTATCATATTGAGTCTGTTTGTAAGTTTATAGATTTGAAGAGAAGTTTAACCAAAGGGCAGACTGTTGATGCTCATATGGAACAACTGATAAACCAAGAAAAGAACTGTTGGCAGGAGGTTCTTTTGAGAATAGTGCAAAGTGTAAAATTTTTATCACAACAAAATTTGG